AGCATGGCCCCTGCGCAAGGATGACAGGAAAGGTTTAGGGTCTAGGGAGTTGTCCGGACTGCAGCCCTTTGCATCGTACGCCGTCCCCCTCGGAGCCAAGAATCGGAGGCCCGCATCATGCCCGCCCAAGTCCAGGAACTGGCGTAGGAACGTCTCATCTCTCCAGAGTTCCTGGTTGGGGGGCCGGTTTAGGGTTGGGTTTAGGATTTAGGGTTGAGGGTTTACGCTCTCGCAACTCGGACACTGCCAGACGAGGTCTCTCGCGCTCAACTGGAAAACAACTGCTTACGAGTGAGGGCTTTGGGTTTTAGAGTTTAGGGCTCTGCAAGAGGCACGTTCCTTTCCCGATGCAGAGATCTGAACATCGACCCATGCCCTTCCATGTCAGCATGTCCCATTACCAACTATGCAGAACCGATCCACTAATGCCAACGGCATACTCACGAAAGGGCTACCGATCTGCATGACATGGACCTCCAAGACGGGAGCCGTCCCTGCCTGTGGGACGTAGCGGAGCACAGAAGGATGCCGCTTCACCACCGGCAACACCTGAAGGAGGCACTGCCCAGGACGCGAGAACCCCAAAGCCGAAACCGCAAACTCTGTCGAACCACGAGCTTCCTCGACAAACATGAGATTGTTGACCCTAAACCCTCCTTGAAGGATCCAATATTCGGTCGCTTTGAACCAAGAAACCAGCACGGCTTCGCCGCAGCGGTCCTGAAGGTGGAAAGGTAGCTGCGCACCTGCCAGGGCGAGTAATGGGGTTTGAGGTTCGACGCCCACACTTGCGCAAGGCAGGCAAGGCTACCGTCTCCGTTTAAACGAATAGTTCGAACGGGGCTTGGCAGTTTTTGGTAAATGTGCGATGCATAGATGCGCACGAAACAAAACTATCATAATACTAATTAATCCTGCCGAAACCTATGCTGGCCGAGTCTGGGACCTCGGGTGCACCTGGCCATGTGATGTGGGTCTCTCGGTTTTATGCCATCCCCGCCGCCTGCTTCCAGATACTGTCGAATTTCCTTCACGGCACAACTCCGTCTGAAGGCACAAGTCTTGCACGCCACACGACCACATTCTGCACACCTTGAGGCTTGAAGCAATGCAGATGTGGATAGGGATCATGCTGGTCGCAGCTCAACTTCTCTCCGGAAAGAAAACAATGGATGCATCGGAGCAGCCGGACACAGTCTTGCATCAGACCAAAGAGCATTCGGCCGCAAACATCGCACCAAACCTCACATCAGCCGAGGCCCAATACATGTCGCACTCCCCAAAGATGCCGGCACAGGGGGTTCAGACGAGGCTCTGGAGAGATTGGCGTGATGATGCTATCATCGTGAAGTCCGAGATCTCTTGGCAAAGCAGAGGCTGCTATCTCATCACCTGGGCAAGCAAATTGGGGCTGTGATTGTCTCGGCATCCTGGCGGAAGCAATGCTGCTGTCACGATCGAACAACCGTTGCCGGCAAGGCGCTGAGATCGGCAAAGCCTGACAGCTAACGAAGGCACTTGCCAACGCGAGTCTCTCATGTGAGGGGCCTGAATAATTACCAATAGTCTCCCTCAGGGTTCCTTGATATGTACACAACAATACTAAACTCGACCTCCCAAAAACCCTTTTTTCTGGTCACTAACTACATCAAAATGCGCTCGCCCAAGGCACATCTGGTGAACGGAAGCAGTGTCTCGTCGAACCTCCGTCGAAGCAGCGTCGCCCAAGAATGCATGAAAGTTTAGGGGTCCTAAGGGTTCCTGTAAGGGTGCCATAGGGGTGTAGGGTTAAGGGTAAAGGGTTCACGGTGGTTTTAGGATTTACACTCTCACAACTCGGACAAGCCAGGCGAGGATTCATAGTTTTAGGATTTAGGGTTTAGGGTTTAGGGTGTCGGGTTAAGGGTATAAGGTTTAGAGTTTAGGGACAGAGTGCCTCCCGCTGAATGCGGCGGTCCAGTAGGGTGCATCTTCGATTCTTCGAACTTCCAGGTGTTCACACGCGTTGCTTCACAGATGTTCAAGCTCTTTAGTAATCCCTACGGATCGAAACCCTAAACCCTCAGCCCTGAACCCTAAACCATACACAGACAAGCGTGAGAGCTCATAGCAGTTTAGGTTCAAGCTCTCGGCGGCTCAAAATCCTCTTTACACCATCGGTGCTCGGCAGTCGCTGCTGATACTATCAGGGCTTAGCCTCAGGACCTTTAAGCTTTAGCGCCTTGTGCTGTGGGGCTCTTGTGCTGTAGGAACGTTGAATCTGTTTTCTCTCCTCTTCTCGCTTACACCTCGTCCAAGTCATCTAGGTCAAACCGCTTCAGCCCAAGCGTCTCGAAGTTTCGCGAGGTCTCCACTGGCTCAACCGCCTCAGTCGTTGGGTTTAGGGGTCTGGAGTTCAGGGTACTAGGGTATTTGGATATTAGGGTATTTTTGACACTCACACGCGGACAAGCCAGGCAAGGTCTGCAGCAATACTGGTTCGTCGAAAGACAAGAAAGACAAGAAAGACAAGGAGACATCAGTTCGGGTATTAGGGTATTAGGGTATTAGGGGTTTGGGTTTAGGGCCCTGCGTCTGGCGGGAGGAAGTCTGCAATCAGCAGGATTCGAGCAGCACTATGAATGTGACAACCACCGACTCACACACGGAGGGTCAACCCTCAACCCGAAACCACCTGAGCCCTGAGACTATAAACCCTGAAACAAGAACCACGAACCGATGCTATATTCCTTGCATCTTTACGTCCTTGAGCCCTGAATCCTAAACTATAAACGTCCTAACCCGTCAGCCTCGTCGTTGACATTGTAGGAGTTCGATATCGTGCAGGCCTTGATTGTCAAGCCATGTGCAAGGCCACGCTCTTAAGCTCTGGGATCTTGTTGAGGGTGAAGGTGTGGCTTTGGGACGGGAAATCGCATTGAAACTCAAAACGCTGCTTCATCAACGGCATACTATTCCCAATTCTTCAGACCCTAAACCCTAAACCCCATGTGTGGTGATTGAAAAATTGGAGATCCCCGGTCCGGCAGCGGCCTACGAGTTGCCTGTGACGCTCTTGAAATCCTTGACCCTAAACGGGTTTTTTTCCCTCTCGCATTGTTGAGAACTATGCCCACGGCGAGGTCTCCTAAACGGGTTTAGGGTTTAGGGTTAAGCCTTAAACCTTTTGTTGAACGAGGTCTCTCTGAAGTGCCTCCAACCCGAAACCTTAAACTCTACTCTAAGCCCTTCCACGTCTCTGTCTCCTTTTTGCAATAACTCTTCTCCTGGTTCTTGTTCTCGCCTTGTCACCTTCCAGTTGTGCAATCCCCCTTCAGCTCTGCACCCTTTGGGCCCAAGCCAAGAACTGTCGGCGAATCCAGGATAAATGCACCATTTGACATCTTACAGGGCTTCTTTTTCTGAACCAACAGACATCCGAGAGGTTTTCTGCCTGAGAATAAAGCTCTGTCACAATGAACCCAACTTTCTGGGCAAGTTGAGAGCGAACCGTCACAAAACGTATGTTTTGGAAGTTATGTTGATTCAACAGCTCAACAGAATGATGTGTTGGACGGAAGTCTAGTACGCCCCAACCTGAAAGCCTTTCTTCTTGTCACTGTCATTGTAGTTACGAGTGGCATAACATATATGGCTGGCAATGAGGCATAAATGGGGCTAAGAAGGAAAGCAATGAAACATCCTCCGTCATGAAGCTCTAGCACTCGGACTAGCCAGACGAGGTTCATGGCTCGCAGCCGGCATTGTAAATGGGGCAGGCATCAGTGCCGTTACGACATGTGGGAAGCGAGAAAGAGACAGCTCATATTTTCTTAGACGCGGCGGTCCTCGCGCAGCACCTTCGGTCGGAAGGGCAGAGCCCAGTTGCATCCAGCAGATTGGTAGAGAATCCGGTAAGCATGCAATAGGTCCGTAAGATTCTTGTATCCGTGGTAGCCTATGGCGAAGGGCGAAACCCAGTAGTCCGCCACTGCAGTCACCTGCGAGGGCTGGCAGGTCATCCAGCGATGTAGCTCGGGGGCAAAGCCGTGGAGTTCGCACACGGCAGGGGCCACGTTCTCTAAGCTGCCAGGAGCGAGCTTCGTTCCCGGCAGCAGCGGCAACGACCGCTTAGCCAGGTGCTCCTGGCATGGCAGCGGCTGGGTGGCAAAGTAGTAGCGCCCAACCTGATCCTCAACTGCAGGATGTGCCGTGACGTTCGAAGCGACGAAACATCGGCCAAGCATGATGTCCCACCAATGTCCTGCAACGAAGCCACAGCCATTTACCCGGCGAGCCAGCGACCCGCCGCCCATCACCGTCGGTGCCCAGAAACCAACACTCTCTGGGAAAGGATAGGTCACGGCCGTCTTTTCCAACGGCTCCAAATGCCGCGAGAGTCTCCGCAGAGCTTCTCGGGTCATGCAGACCCCACCCGCAGTGTGTGGAAAGATGCCCATCTGCAGCTTCATGCCCAGATGCAGCGCGGCCACGAAATGAGGGTCCCCGGCCCGAAGCATGTTTGCCCTCGCAAAGGCTCGCAGGTTTTCGGCAGAGAAGGCACTATCAAGCTCCAACCAGCAGAAGAGGTCGGCATCTTCTAATAAGTGTCGAGCTGCGTAGACGGCCATGAGCAAGCTCTTCTGGATGGTGTTACCGGACCAGAGTCGGGTGCGAAAGGTTTGAGAGCCTGGAATGCCAGGAGTGGCCTTGTCTGCGTCAGTCCACTGCATCTTCATCCAGCTCTTATCCGCTTGAATTTCACGGAATGCTCGTGCCAGATTCACGACTTCAAAATCGCGTCGGCGAATGCGGATCTTCCAGGAGCTGCGCATTTCCAATTCTCTGCTTGGGGCAGCGAAGAACTTGGCCCAATCACAATGCCGAGCGAAGCTCTGGGCCATCCTTCGAAGAGGTGGGTAGTCGTTCGGCAGCGCCGCCAGGTACAAACATGCCACACGCTGGGCAATGCTCGACGAGGGGGGAGCCTGAGCGGCTGCCTCGTACCTCGATTCCGTAGCGGCTTCGTCACAAGTCAGATCTTCGCCGGTCCAGGACAGCGGCTTCGGGAGGACCTTTCGCCCTGAAGGATAAGCTGCATGAGCTGCCCGTACCTTTGCAAGCAGGTTGGCTGGGCGGAAGCCGCGAGGAGGTGCCACACAACCATCGCAGGCAAAGTCATCGAGCAGTGCCCAGGGGCAGTCTTGCATGACTGTGGCAGCTTCTGTCGCATCAGCGAGCTGTGCGAGCAGCGTTGACGGTCCCAGGTGCTGCGATGCCGCTGCGGCGACTGACCGCAGCAATGAGCGAGAAAGTGCTGCGGCGGTGCATCGACCTTAGGAGAAGTCCAGCTCATACGAATTGTAGCAGTCTTCGGGCGCATGCCGTCTGACTTGAAGAAGAGTCCTCTTGAACAGCGCGTGTGGCAAACTTATCCTGCCCAGCGCGCGCTGCCGGCGGGCCCCTGGCTTCTGGAGATCCTGCATCAACTCGTGCACGTCTCGGACGCTGAACAGTCCAGGGGGCAGCTCGTGCCAGTCTCCCATGTCCTGGCTGCACAAACAGCGACCCTTGTTGCCCAGGTCTTCGGCATCCGCAGAGTGAGGCGTGCCATCCGATAGCTTCCATCGCAGCTCACCGGGCTGCAGAGCCCGCGGAAACGGGGAGCGCAGGCCAAGGTAGCGCAGCAGGGCTCGATGGACGACCAATCGAAGGAGCGACCCGTCGCCGGTGCAGCGGTGTGGAACGCAAAGCCACAGTCGCGCAGAGATGTTCGCTGAAAGAGGTCGGCCTGCTTTCAGTGAGGCTTCCTCAAGTACTCGTTGCAGGTACACTTCTTTCCGCAGGAGATGTATTTCCATCACTATAGCATCCGGATGCACTTCCCTACAACCTTGCCAATGTTCCTTGGTGAACCATGGACCGCGGCCGGTAAAAGCGTCGTCATGCCTGGCGAGCGTCTGCAAGCACTGGAGCTCACTGGAAGTGGGAACAGCGACAAACAGCAGCAGCACTGCCACCCAACACGGATGTAAAGTCGCCGCCATCGGCAGGCGACATGCCACTGCTTGTGCTTTGCTCACTGAACGTCTGCTCGGCGGTAGGGTTCTGGATTCTGGCAGTCGCATTGCAAACACAGGGCCGTGAAACGTTGTAACGAAGAACTCATACACAAGCCTGTGAAGTCTCGCAACACGCTTGCTAGCAACTGGGAGCACATATGGGGTCGGCTGGGGCCAAAATCAGCAAAGCCGGCCCCGCAGCCTACAATGCCAGAAACACCTTGGTGCCGGGCGGGGTTTGCAAACGTTCTACTCAAACAAACCCGAAACCCCCCAACCCCCCCCCCCCCCCGGTTTTGAACCGAGCGGCACAGGCCTTCGGCAGTGCACCCCCCATCGTGCGGACAGCGGGAACGAGGGTATCAGGTTTGGGGATCGGGACTGAGAAGTCAGGGGATTGAGGGGCTCGCGGGTTTCGAGCTTCGGCTGAGGCCCTCACAAGTCGGAATGGGGGCCTGGGGGAAGGCCGCACATTCTGGTAGGTCAGCTATGCTCTGGGCGCCGGATTTGAGACTTACCGTATCCTTGGTAGATGAAATCAGCACATGATTCCATACGGTTTCAATCGAATCGCCTGGCGCAGTCTCCAGGCCCTCTCATGAAAAATACCTTGAGCCACAGGTGCACCGAGGCAGCGACGGAAGCATAATGTGTTGACAGCCGCTACTTCAACGAGACATACACCCTCAACATGTTTACAACCGTGGACAATGGAAAGCCGGTAGTTCCTCTTGTAGCTGTTCTACTTGCATTACTTCTCAGTCTAGCAATTCTGCTGCCTCTGTCGCCGTGCTAATTTCTCGTACTTCCGCTGCAGTGTCTTCCGGGTCGATTTTCTCTTGGTGCTTGTGTGACTGATGCTACACCCTTGTATTGTTCTTCTCCCGACTGCTGCGGTTCTCGATGGTTGCCTTCCTGCGCTTTAGAAAGCCGACCTGGGCCCCTACCGACAGGCTACTGAGTGTGCGCAACAAGGATCATCGTTCAACCGGTACCACATTCACGAAACTACAGATACCACGTTCACGAAACCACAGTGGTTTCACGATAGGGATGGTTGGGGGGAATTCGTTTTTGTATAGCTGTCGAAAGTGAAATTCTTGGATTTGTTGAGGATGCAAAGGTGCAAAGCAGTCTGCGACCCTGGGCCCACAAGTCACAGGTGCCTCTGCAGGGCAGCAGCAATGCAAATGGCCTCGGGCCACGCGACACGAAGTCGATGCTACTCACATCACAGACCACCAGAATTCTGCCCCTGCTGCTGCAAGTTCCAATACAACTCCGATGCTACTGCTACTGGTGCGACTATTTATATACGGCCTGAGGCTCCAGTACTCTGGGATGTACGTGAGCCACGATGAAGTAGTTAGAGTCTGATTCTATCGGTCCGCAATCCAACTGAAACTCTGATGCTCATGACTCAAGCCCGTTGTTGCAACTGCTTTGCTACTGTGCTGCAACTGCTGTGGCGCATCGTGTCTTGCTATGACCGCTCTGAATGAAAGTGTTTGCTGCTTTGGCTGCGTGCTGCTGTTGTTGTATATAAGTGTGTTTCTACTAATCCGTCAAGTAGTCAGCACTGCGGCGAAACTGAGTTGCCGACAATGCCAAGAAGAAGCTCTGTGCCAAAGACCTCGATAGCGGGCTCGAAATTGCTGAACTCACTGTCCCACGCCGTCACCCGCCTCAGCCCACACCCCAAGCCCTGAGTCCCCTGAGCCCCAGAGTAGATTCCCACCTTGACCTCTCGGAAAGTGGCGCGGACCTTGGCGTCCAGGGCAAGGCTTGATGGGCGCCAGAGTTTCCAGAAGCGGATAATGGAGGGGCCTTAATCATTAGAATAGGGTTTTGGGCATATTATACAAGACGGAACCCCCAGAATAGGGTAGGTGATTATTAAGGACTGATCCATTTCTAAGCTCAGCTTTGGGTTGATCTGCTTGAGGCCCCTGTCTCGCGCCTCACACCTTACTCAGACTCGGCACGACACCGACCGACACTACGACCCGAGGTACCATAAGGCTATTGTAAGGTCTACCAATCAAGCACGATCAGGGTTGCTAGAAGGGCGGCGAAGTGCACCCTCAAAGTCAAAGGAGTCCGAAGGTGGCATTGTTGCCCTTTTTTTGCTACTGGAACTAAAGCCTAAACCCAAACCCTCAACCCATGTTTTCTTTTCAGACTTCGGGAAAAGCTGAACCCGAAATACCTCAACCTTTAAGATCCAGAACGACCCTCCCCAAACCCTGAAAAAAGAATCAACCCTGAAATCCTGAACCTTTACTACCCCAAACCAAAAAGACACCGTAAAACCTCAACCCAACACCCTAAATCCAAAACTCTCAAATCCTAACCCCTAAATCCTAAAACCCTAGAACCCTAAACCCTAAACCCTAAAAGCCTAAACCCCTAAACTCCAAACCCTTTTCAGCACGGACTGTGGTGCCGGCCAACTCCAAACCCTTAACACCAAACCCTTTTGCATCCGGGCTTGTGAAGTCAACCCCAAACCCTAAACCCTAAACCCCAAACCTGTCCAAACGGTGGCCGGTGCTGACCAGCGGCCAACTCGCGCAGCTCTGGAGATGGGAATTTATGCACCTACGAGCTGATCTTGGAACGCTACGAAAGGTTTAGGGTTTCGGGTTTAGGGTTTCGACTCTCACACTCGCACGATTTAGGGTTTAGGGCTTGGGGCTTCAGAAGAAGATAATGCATAATGACTATAACTATAAAAAATCATCCTCTCGTCTTGCTGTTCACTCTTGGCCTCGTGGTGGTCCTTGGAAGCAGCTCCCAGAGATTCGGACCGCCCAACAGGTTCCTGCAGCATTGCGGGAACCGCTGCGACTCTAGCATCTCCTACGCAATCTGGGCTTCTAGGCGCACAAACCCTGAAGCCTTAAGCCCTATATGGCCTGAACCCTGCCGAAGCAGAGACAAACCGTCGAAACCCCAAACCCGGAACTGCCATGAGAGTGCTGGCCCCCGGAGGCCCTGCTGCGGGCAAGTCTTCACTCTCATCCCACGCCCCTAGGGTTTAGGGTTTAGGGTTTAGGGTTTAGGTCAAAGAAAGACCCAGTTTAAACAGGGTGTTGAAAACCTTTTAATCCAAGGGCGGCGTGACACAGGTGTGGCTGGGCCGCGGGCGACTGCTGCAGCTTCGTGGTCTTTCGGCTGCAGGCTGAACCTGCTAGAATAATGTATGATATAGTATGATAAAATTATAATACGGTAGAATATAGCATAGTATACTATTTTTGGCTCCCACATGGCAACGTCAGCGCACTGACCCTGCATGGCAGGCATCATGTCCTCAGAGACCTACCAGAATACAACAACTACCAGTAGGATGAAACTACAGGCTATGATATAGTACAATATGGTATAATATAGTATGATATAGCACCACAATTTTCCTAAGCCGGTTTTGTTGAACGACTGTCAGGGTCCGGGAAGCGGCTATCTGCTGGGTGCGTGCTGACACGCCTTCCCTGATGCAGCGCCCAACCACAACATCCAGTTTAGTGTTTAGGATTACTGTTCATTCGTCTCTCCGGCATAGCAGCATAGTAGCGAGGAGGCGAACCATAGGGAGGCTAACAATCACAATCGGAAACATCATAATCATCACCACCCGTCGGCCACCTTCATCATAACCATTATGACAGAGCAATGTCAAAGACAACTACCATCAACAGCGGTGACATGAGCGATGATGATCAGAGCCAAGAGAACAAAAATAGCAAAGAAGTGGTGCTTACCGTTTTCAGCAATACGGCACTCCGTCAGATTATTGTTATGTTACGGGGCTGTTGACAATGACTATCCCAAGCTTTTCTAATGACGGGCTCTTTAGCCCAACCCCCAACCCCCAACCGCCCTTGGCCCAAACCCTAAAGCCACCTCCAAACGCCGCAAACCCACAACCTTTTTGCCTAAACCCTTGACCCCGTAAACTTCAGTCCCAAACCCCAGCCCCTCAGAGAAGGCCCGCATCCATGGGCCCGCCTTGTCACGGTGATGCTGGCCTCAAGTATGCAAGGACAAGAAGCAAAGCTTGGGGTTCTACTGCTGGGGCAGGGCCACCCTGAGGATCTAAATTTGCTCAAATCGGCCGGGCTCCCACTGTTGAAAGTATAGTATACGTAATATACTTATAATACATCATAGTATATTTTAGTATATTATAATATATTATAAGTATAATACATGAGCTTCGGAGGGCCCCCACGGTGCTGGAGCTGCACAGCCTTTTCCTGTAAGTGATGTGAGCGAGCCTCGAAAATCCTACAGCAAAGGTTGCTCGGTACAAGATGGAACATCAGCCAACAAGCAAAAACGGCTGCCTCAGGGATCATTAACAATGCCATCGGCCAACGGTTAAACGAAAACAGATATAGCCTGGGACAGACCGCAGGGAGATCCCTTCCACCTCCTAGCTTCGCCAAGCGCTTCAAGCCTAGTGGCTCTTGCTGGGCTGTCCCAGGAACTGGTGCAATGAGGCTCACGCCCTGTTGAAAGTGGCTTGGCACTTCCTGAATGTCCAAGCTTGGCTGTTCATTCGCAAGCAAAGTCACATGGAGTGGGATCCGTCGTCCGGACGCTGTCTCGCAACACTCCACTGCTTGCGGAGCTTTGGAACGCCTTCCAGGCAAGTGGGCGATTCGAGCACTGCCACACGCCCTTTTGGATGGGCAGCCAACCCACCAAAATATGAATACTCGAGGCTGCTCACAAGCTGCGGTGCCGAAATCTCTCGCCTGGAAACAACATTCAGGGACGCCCAAGCCCGCCTGGGCTTCTCGACCCATGCTTTGCGATGCTGGGTCATGCTGTGCATGCTGTGTAAAGGCGTGCACTGTGCAGCTAATTTCCCACTAATTAGAGTATTCGCTCTCACGGGCAACAATGCTCTTGTCCACCACGACTCTCCACGAGGCCACAGTCTGCTCCCAGGTTGAGAACGACATGTTGGCATCGGTGACCTCACACCGCACCATGATGCACACAACCATTCTACTATCGGCCTCAGAAACCAAGCCCAAGATTAGCAAAGAGTGGTAAAGTGAGCATGGTATGGTATATATTGGTGGGGTGTGGTATGGTACGTTAGAGTACGGTATAGCAAGCTACAGCATAGCATAGTATAGTATCCTAAAGTGTAACTCATGTAGCATAGTCTAGTATGGTATCGTACAGTATAGTAGAGAAGAGCAGTATCGAAGGCCATTATCGCATAATTTTGTCCGGGGGCCACGAGGCCCCAGCCGCGCCGGGCAATCTCTCCGAGCAGCTGCGTCGCATTCCAAGAGGCGTAGCCCCAGAAGACCTTTAGGGTTTAGGGTTTCACACTCGGACCCTTTAGGGTTTAGGGTTTAGGGTTTCACACTCGGACCTTTTAGGGTTTAGGGTTTAGGGTTTCAAACTCGACCTTTTATGGTTTAGGGTTTAGGGTTTACCCCAGAAGACCTTGAGAGGAGCATCGCCCAGCCTCAGACACAGGGATCCGTCACTCACGCTCGCACGAAGGCAAGGGTCCACACAATCCACAACGATCGACTAGAGACCTGGATATGCCCGAAGATTACTTAGCAAGCAACGACAGGGTTTAGGGTTTAGGGCCATGGGAATGCTAGTGATCCTCCTGGAGGGCTTACACCGGAACCATCCCCCCCTCACTTCTCGGGCTTGCACAGAGCGCGGGGAAGTCGAGCATCCGACAACGCAACGGACGCTCGCAAAGTCGCAAAGTCACTTGCAGAGTAGCGTTGCTCTCGTACTCTCGACTCTGAATACTCCGAGGCGGAGTAGGGAAGTTGGACGGAACTCGGCCTTGTCGAGTCGCACGGAGACTCAAAGACATGCGAGCCTAGGGGCAAGCAGCCATCGCCGGCGCCGACTTGGACAAAGATGCTGGCCAATAGTCCCAAAATCACTCCAAGTTCTCCTCACGCTGGCAAGAGCATGTGCGAGGCTAAATCTAAGGCGGAGTCCAATGCAAACCAAGCTGCCGAAATAAATGCCTCGGCTTCTCCAGTGCAGGAGTTTTGTCATCAGCACGACTGTGTTCGGGTGAAGCTGTCAGTCCAAGTGGCTACCTTTGACCCTGAGCCGTGAGAGCTGTGCAATTCGCTGCGGGGACCTGAGACACATCTATTTCATAAGTGTTTTGTGGTCACAAATCCCCACACTTCCAACGCGCACGGAAGTTGGCACGAGGGCTGATCAGGAATTGGTGGCATGCGGCAGAAGCTCGAAGCAGCTCGCAAGCTGTCTCCGTATTCCAGGGTCAACCGCGAAGTTGTTTGACGCACGCTTTGCCTGAGCTAACCCCGACTCAGCATGCTCGGCTTGACGCATTTCGGCTTGCAACAATGAACACTGCATCGAAGTCAAGAAAGCCCCGACATGGCACTGCATCCAGCACCTCCGTGGGTATCTCCACCAAAGCGAAGGCCTACTGGGCCGCCAACTGAGGTTCAGAGCTAAGGGATGTCTGACTCACCTCCCCCATAGGCTGCATAAGTCGTACTAGCATGTAAATCGTTACGCTCTCATCTCAGACTGCTGCCTGAGCACTTCTCACTGATTTCTATGATATGGTGAGAGACACATCTCTCCCGACATGTAGAATTTCACTCCTGACCTGTTTTCACGTGATGACGAGACGAGAACATGGTTCTATGCCAGCAGCAAACAGTTATTTCATGACACACAGCATTACATGATCCACTCCACTGGTGCCGAATAGCTCCTGTAGGAGAGGAGGAAGGGGACGAGAGCATGGGAGGTAACAGTGCGAGATTCACGTGCCTGCAACGAAGAGTGCCAGGAAGACCGAAGATGAGAAGAACACTACCGGCAACCGGCACGCATCCGGTAGCCAGCAAGGATGCAATGACGGCATGATTACTCAGGACCAAAGCTCAAAATCACACAAATGGATACGTGCACAGTCCTCACTTCGCAACATGCATCATCACCAAAGACTAGGGCATACAGTGGCCTATGCCTTATGCAGTCTTAGCACAAGGTTTGTTATGGCGATATCATAACATCCATTTGCCATCAGCTGTTGGGGCTTCAGTGGGCTTATTTTAAGGGCCCTAAGCCCATAAATCACCTAAAACCTCGGACCCTAAGCCCACCCCCTAAACCCGAAACCCCTCAACTCGCAGCGCCCTCGTGAGCCTCCGAGGGCTCCACCGGCCCACCCAGAAAGTGCTCCACGGCCCTGGGGGCCAAGACCCTGGCAGCCTGTAAGACCTGCTGTTGGATTTTTTGGGTTTAGGGTTTAGGGTTTAGGGTTTAGGGTTTAGGGTTTAGGGTTTATGGGCTCAAAGTTTATGGGCTCTGGGTGTATGGTCTTATGAGTTTAAGCTGTCGGTGCTCACTCTGCAGACCAGGTTTAAGGTTTAGGGGTTGTGGGGTTGAGGTTTCGGGGCTACTCGCTTAGAATTTCGAGCTGCGTGCTTGTCTTGCATTGCAAGAGTCAGCGTCAAAGACCGGATCCCCTCCTTGCTTTGCTTTGCTTTGGGCTTAGAGTCAGAGGCAGTCCCTCTGACGCGCGCCGAGGCACTGAGAACGTCTCATCGTCATTCTCATCATCATCACTACCAGAATCGTTGGTAGCTTCAGCCGCAATCTGGCGACGTCTTGGTGACCGCCGTTTCGGCCAAGTCAGCTCTAGTACTACAACTGGCCGCAGTAGTTGCTTATGATCCCGCAAGTAGAAACAAGAACTCGGTAACGATGACGGCAATCAGTACGTGAAGCGTCTAAAAATGTATGTATTCTGTACTATGCATTATGTAGTACGTCTCCATTGCTATACTTTTTTGTATAGTATTATCATTATTGGTATTCCTACTCTTATTGCTAGTCGTACTCGTATAAAAAATGCCTTTCCCTTGCCATCCTTACCCTTTCCTTTACGACCTTCTGGGCGGTCCCGGACGAAGTGACCGCCACCGGTTGTTACTGTTGATAGTAGTAGTATTACTACTGTTCGTATTACGCCTACTTTCATAAAAAGGACAGGTTTATTGTTGCAATGAAGCTAGATTACTAAAACAATAACAAAAATGCAAACAATAGAAAAATGAGAACAGTACAGTAATCACTAATGTTGTTATATTGCTTGTAAGTCTATATTCTATCATTATTGCTATTATCATTGTCATTAAAATTGCTCTTTTGTTCATGTTAACCTTATGATCCTGATGAATATTGCTATCAGCGTTAACATTATCACTCCTATCATTGTTATCATTAATACGGTTGATAACCTTATTGCTAGTATTATTCTGAATAGCTAAGAATAGCTAAAAGACTCGCCTGGACCAAGGGAGCGTAGCTCGATTGCCATTCCCTCAACGGGTAAGTCGTCACCTGACGAGAGTGCGACAAAAGTCGCAACTTGCCCAACCCGGCGGATCACTTCGGGTTTAGGTCTGTAGGATTGTGAAGCGTGTTTGCCTCCAGCGTTCCTTGACTACGCCCGCGAGGAGGGGCTGCAAAACTGACAGGCTGGAGCAACATGCGCACGGCGCACGACCCATGCATGCAAGCCAGTATGCTGTCTACGGGCTTTATGAAACACGAACTTTCATTTCAGGTGGTGCACCCTTCACCCTCACTTGCGCAGAGCATGTACGGTCCACTTGCTTGCAATTCAAGCTTAAACCCTGAAACTTAAATTATAAACCCCACACCCCTGAGCCCCAAACCCGAAACCCCTTGCGCGAGGTTTCATTTTTTGGACCCCCTTTTTTGCCACCTCATACTCCTGGCACTCCCTAGAAACCGTCGAGCCCACTCAACTGGACACTGCAGTCAGGAATCTGATACAAATAACAACGAAGGTTCTACTAAACTCGTGGGGTTTAGAGCCTAGGATTGAAAGATTGTTGCTGCCTCTGACAAGCCTGCATTGCAGGAAGGGTTTAGGGTCTAGGCGCCTCCGCCCCTGTGCACTACAAGCAATCTCAACAACCGGGCCTCGACGTCGGGGCCCTGTTGTAGAACAGGCCGGGTGGTGTGCTCCAGTGGACTTGGAACTTTTTGCACCAGGTTGACTCCCAGAACCTTGTGTACGGTCGGGGCTTGGGGTTCTAAGTACTGCGGGGGCCTTAAAGTTAAGAGTAGGGGTTTGGTGTTTATTATAGCATGATTCAGACGAGGAACCCTAAGGAATAGTATTGGCATGTCTTTGGGGCTCGGTCGGACTTGTAGATTCTGCGGCACTCCATAAGAAGCTCGATAGATTCGCAAGGCAGACTACTCATTTTTCAATTCTAGAGCTCTCCAGTCCAGGTTTAGGGTTTAGGGCGTAGGGACACTTGAAAACTGAAGAACCAACCACACAAAGTCATGAAGGCTTCTCAGCAATCTCTGTTCGCATGGCTATGACAGTGAAGAAGCCGCAGTGAAGAAAGAACCTCTTCAGGAATCTAGTCCTTGCATTGAACATAGTCATAGCCGGCTATGGTCGGCTGTAAAAACCCAGTCCCTGCTTTGATCAAACGGATCAATGTGATCTGTGGCCCAGAAGAGCAATCCTCCTAGTTCGCAGACACCGCAGGCACCGCAGGTTTTCACGGTATTCACACACGAAGATTAGTTTCTGCCTCCCGATATCGGGAAGCTCACAGCTCAGAGCACGCAAGTGTCTTGCAGAAATCATATAGAGCGGCATGGCTGCATTCAGCAATGTGCTGATTCATGTACCTTAATGCACATGCACAGTACGTGAAGACACTGCAGAAAAGCACTCCACTCGTGCCGGGGCTGAGCTGTCTCCACTTGGAGTAATAGCTTTTGCTCAGCTGAGCCGGCATGATTCCAGAGCGTGAGCCCTTTCTACAAGCTCAAAAACTGCTCTTCGACCTGAGAACAGTCACCACCGGAATCTGAGTCACCCCAGGTAACGACTGCGCCGTTTGCCAGTATGGCCACAAACGCGTGATAGCCGGCCTTTAGGTGCTGTACATTCTGGAGCTTATGCTGGACCGCAGAGCTATCACCGCCGAAAGCAGGATCGCCCCATGTTATGACAGATCTATCTTCCAGGATTGCGGCAAAGGCCTTGTCTGCCCCATGAACCTGCTGCACCTTCTTAAGCTGATGTTGGACTGCAGAGCTGTCCCCACATGGGGAGCTGCCCCACGTCACAAGAGATCCATCTTCCAGCGTTGCAGCAAACGCGCCACCGCAGGACCAAAGCTTCTGCACACCTTTCAGCTGATCTCGGACAGCACTATAGTCGTCCACGACAAACTCTGAACCCCATGTGGTGATGGACCCGTCTTCCTTCAGTGCAGCAAAAGAAGTGTTTGTTCCCTGAACCTGCTTCACTTTCCTGAGTTGATCCTGGACATGCTCGCTGTCACCACCCTCATCCCGATGGCCCCAAGTCACGACAGATCCGTCTGCAAGGATTGCAGCGAATGCTTCATGTCTATGTCCAGACTCAACTTGCTTAACGTTGCGGAGACGAGCTTGGACACCACTGCTGTCACCTCCAGCATATGGATTGCCCCATGTCACAACTGACCCATCTTCGAGGATTGCAGCAAATGCTGCACTTGTGGCCCGGAGCTGCTTTACATTCTTCAGCTCTTGGACGTTGGAGCAGTCACCGCCCGTTTCATAGCCCGTGACATCATCACCCCAAGTCACAACCGATCCGTCTGCCAACAAGGCAGCGAATGCTCCCCATGTGCCCAAGACTTGCTTCACGGTCTTGAGCTGATGTTGGACTGCGGAGCTGTCACCACCATTCTCTGAGCTGCCCCAGCTCACAACAGAGCCATCTTCCAGCACTGCGGCAAATGCACCGTCCGTCGCTGCGATCTGCTGGACACCTCTGAGATTGCCCTGGACTGCAGAACTGTCCCCGCCTTCAGCCGGCTTGCCCCATGAGACCACCCTGTCTCCTCCGCGGATGCACAAGGCAAAAGCCTCCCTAGTTGCAGCAAGGATCGGCTCGACTGCAAGAGCTGTAACATGGTCTCCATCTTCCAGCCCGGCAGCTTGCAGAGACTCGGTGGCATCAGACAGGACAACACCACCGACAGTCACTAACTTCACAAAGCCTTGCCCGAAAGCTTCTTGGGCAAGAGTCCTCAAATCTCCCACAGTGGAAGACTCCGGAATCGAGAGCCGCTCACCGCGACCGCTTGGAAAAGCAACCTGATCTGCTTCATTGAAGCAAAGCGAAGAATTGGTTTGATCCGAACGGGCTGCAGGGTCTCCTCCTGCCAAAATGCTGAACCAAAACTCATAACCCTAAACCCTGAACCCAAAAAGCTCATGAAGGCAAAGTAGTGTAGTTCCGTTAAGAGCGGCTCGAAGAATGCTTCCTCCTCAAGACGGTGTCCTCTACTGTCGGACTCCGGACATCACTACAACTCGTCTCCGACGACACTAGAACTCACCGGCGACCGCTCGTCAGAGACATTACATGAATTATTGTTTTATCAGAACTCCGCACTGTGGCAACCGGAGACATTACATCCATGAAGATTGGAATTTCTGTTGTACGAAAACACTTGGCGTGTGGATATGATATGTGGTGACATAGTGTCACATGCTACAGCTGACTGAATAATCACTGTGCAGCGTCTGCACTATACTGTACTTCATCTCAAAACGTTAGATACAAGCAGTGACTGTTGTAGGCCCCATGTATGTGTTGCCTGCGTTCGTGCCAGGCATCTCTCGCCCAACTTCGGTCCAAGACAGCGCTGCGGAATGCTCATGTCACGACGGGACGCGTTTGACCGGGAATGTTGGCCCCCTCTTTCTGGTAGATGTACGCTCGTAATTGTTTGTACTTTTTCGAACTTGCAGAAAAGTCTGGACCAAAGCGGCGCAAGCAGCTAAAATCTTTACCGCCGTCGTCATCATGTTTATGACTACCGTTTTATGGTCGTAACGTCTTGAAAGCAAAGAACCCATAAAACTGAAGCCATTCCTGCCAACGGAACCCTGAGAATCGGCCCTGGAATCTCTGCTCTGGCGTACCTGAGGCCTGCACAGCTCCTCCCCCGCGCTTGTTGGGGTTGTAAGGCTCGCACCTGACTGTCTCTTCGGCTCCCGCATGGCGGCCCCGCAGTGTAAGATGCGCCAAAGGCACGCTTGTCGGAAAGAACTAACGTCGCACTACATGGGCGAAAGCAGAGGTAGCTACACAATTTCGGCACTATCTCAGCCCTTTGTTGCATCAGGACTTGTGGAGGATCTGGGTCGTAAGCCTGGCTACTTGGGCTCATGACACTTGGGCCATGGCAAAGCGATCAGGTACACCGCCTCGGTGAAGTGCCCGAGCCTCGAAAGGCGGACTTGAGACAAAGCTAGTCGCATTTTGGCTGATGTAGTTTAAGACGTACTCGTCCTCGTATGCCACCGACTACAGCCAACAGCAACTACAACAACACGGCACCGCCAGCACCACCTACTACTACTACTACTACCACCACTACAGTTCTAACTGTGCTGGTGTGACGTAGGGGATTCTGGGAACCCTAGTGCAGAGCAAGAAAGCCGACGTGGGCCGCAGATTCCCGCAGCCATATGTGAGCTGGGACTTCGGGTTTCCAAGTCAACCCATGCAAGGGTTCAGGCACCTCGTGGCGAAGGCGCCAGGTTGCTGGCGCATCAGCTCCCCGTTCTTCTCGGATTTGGGTCGGGAGCTCCTTGGCTAGGGTTTTCGACTCTCACACTCGGACATGGCTAGGGTCTCGACACACACACACACACTCGCACTCCGCAGGCATGGCAAGAAGACGTCCCGAGCTTGCTACATGTACATGCCCTATGCCCATCAGACTCAGTAGCCCGAGATGCCCAGTGAGGGAGGACTCAAGTAACAGTCAGGGCCCCGGGCTTCGACTCACACTCGCTCAAAGCAGGCACGGAGGCATGGCAGACGGTCTCAGCTTTCCTTGCTAATGCAGCGACTTGAGAGTCCGTGTAGACACTGTGGCAGACTTTAGGTCGCTGGCTTCCCGTGCCGAAACACTTTTTGCCCACTTCTTCCGGCGAAAAGCGGTGGAGCTCCCCAGCGTGTGGCCTGGAGCCCTACACCCTAAGCTTGCTCACTTTCGGAGTTTTCCACGGAGCTCCGTTGGAGCCTGTCTCCTCTTCCGACTTACTGGAAGCGACGCTTCTCGACTGATTCGTCTGCTTCAGGTTTGCTCTTGTCCACATCCTTTGGCAATGCTGGGGCTGTTGCCTTACAGTTCTCTTGGAACCCAGTCATATCAGCAGGCAGTTTGTCATCAGGCAATATGCGGGTCCGGCAAGAAGGCGAGTCAGTCATTATGTGGTGTATGCATGCAGACCACTTCATAAACACCGCCCCACAGTGCGGGCAGGCATACTTTGCAGTAGCTAGCACCGCTTCGGTAGACTTCGGTAATGCGGCGGATTCCTTGCTGGACAGGCCCAGCAAACTCGCCAGCGGCGGCTGATCCTGTAGTATGGATACCTTCACTGCCAGATTGTCATCATTTCCGGCCTGGTTCTCCTTCTCCTCTTCTCGATGCTTCCCACGCATTAACCCCTCCTGCTTCTCATCTGCCATCCCATGCTGAAAATTGCCACTATTCTGGCTGGCCTCGCTGTACTCATCATGTAAAACCTCTGGATCCCGATTGAGGGTGCGCCATATCCGATTACGTGCCCTTGTGTCGCAGAATGCAGGCCAGTCGTCGTTTTTCCGAGACCAAGAGTCATAATATCCGAACGATTTCCTGCTCTTTCTACCATTTTGTTCCGATGAACTGATACCATACCACTGGTCCTTCCACCACTCTTTGTTGTTGTTGTAGCTCAGAGTCTGGCAAGACCTGCCATCCTTTCTACTGTCGGCCAGTGATGCAGGAAAAATGTCCAAAGTTTGCAGACGCATTCCCTTTTCATCAAAGGCCATGGGCTTGCAGCCCTCGGGGGTGGCACTGGTGAGCCAAGCTGATCTCTGGTGCCGCTGAATGTTTGCAGCATAGCCCTGGATGGAGGACCACTCTGACTTGCAAGGGCGCTCGCTAGCGTGTCCTTTCCAGTCGTGGGTGCCCTCGAAGTGGTTCTGGCATTGCACAGCTGTTTCATGGTCTCGAAAATTGATGTATGCTAAACCTCGGGTCTCGAACTTTTCCATGTCCACAGGCAAATAGAAGTAGTCATATGTGCAGGGGAAGAGTTCATCCAGTAAACTCAATAGAATCTCTGCAGTCAAAGTCTTCGGAAGACGTGTCAACACGATGGTTGTTTCCCCACCTTCTTTTGAATTCGATGCCGCCTTCGAGGTCATGTGCCGGACCTTCCAATGGTTGCCACCCCCCTTGTCCCCGCGTGCCAACCTCATGCTGTCAGGTATTCGAGCAGCAACTCTACAGACTTGGTATAAACGCACACAAGGCTCTTGATTTCAGAGCAGCAGAACACTGTTCGGATGATTGAGCCAAAATGGCAAGAGTTTTTGTTGCCTCCCACCTAGCCAGGAGGAAGCCCGCAATGCAGGGTACATATTGGCAAGGTTGGAAAGGGGGCTTTGATCTTACTACTTACGGTCGAAACGACAAGCCGCCTGCGAGAATATTGGTGGTCTGAGTCTAGGGGGTTTAGGCCCGTCCGCCTCGGGCAACGACGTCTGAACGGAGCAACATCTGCTGCATGCCTGCATCCGAAAGCTTCACCTTCACGACGAAGCAATAAGCAGTTCTGCAGTAGACTTCTCCGTGAAACTTTGTTGAGCTCTCTTCAGCCGGAACAGAAGTGCTCATTGATTTGGAGCTCAACATTGGGCTCGCATCCGTTTGCTTTGGCACCAGGCTTGCAAAAGCAAGCCTTATAATATACTATACCATACTATACTAGACTACACTATAGTATGCAATGCTATACTATACTATGATCTAATACGATACTACAATATCCTATGTTTAATTCAGTATAATGTACAGTAATGTACTACAATCGAACTGTTGATTTACTTAACTCTGAAGCCCCCGACCTGAGGTCCCACTACCAGAACAGCATCCACAGCTTCAGGGGCATTGAAGAGGGGTGCTTGATAATGGATTAAAACAAATACCTGTAGAAAATTATGCGTTCCCTTATAGACTAGAATAAAGAATCCTAACATGGTATCTTACATTAAACTCCTTAACAAGAACCCAATAAAAATCAGCCGAAGCGGCGCCAAAAGGTTTCCTTTTTGGATCAGCTGGGGAAGCTCCTTGGAAGCAGGGAACAAATAGGGGACTTCGTCCTAATGTCGGTGAAGCAAGCCCGAAGTGGGGGTGCTCATCATAATGTGCCTGTAAGTGCGGCAAATCTCCAGAACTCTCATCATGGGTACGAGCCCACGGTCGCTGTTTTGGGGGGTTAGCGTTGAGGGCGTCGGGTTTGGATTTCAGGCATCATTGAAGCGACTCTCCTCGATACTGGCGACTCCGACGTGCATTGCCCAGCCTCCCCCGTGTACTCCAGAAGTGCCTTTCGACAGCATGGCCAAAGACTTGCCAGCTATCGCATGCGCTGCAGCACCAGCAACAACAAAAGCAGCAGCAGCAGCAGAAGAAGAAGCAGAAATCGCCACAAAAATAGCTAAACTTAGCATTTAACACTGGAGGTGCTGATGAAGATGACACTGGTGGACCACTCAAGCGCTCTCATGCGAGATTGGCTCCCAACCCGACGAGAATCCAGACTATGGGGCCCTGACCAGCGAAATCACATGGGTAGCTCTCTAAATTAGGGTCCCTTTGTAGGAACCCAAGAAGGACCCTAATTTATAAAGCTACCCACATGTCTCTCAACCTTAGCACGTTAGCTTCTGCGCCTCGCGCCGACTCCTGGGCTTGTACGCTTCCTTGAAGGGCCGCTCGCAGACGTTGCCTGGTAGGATCGCCGGGCGGGAGCGCTCACTTCTGGCTCTGCTCGCAAGCCGGGGATTAGGCGATGCTGCTCGCAAGATGACGCTGAAAAGGCTTAGGTAGTAGTAGTGAGTTGAGGGTAAAGTTGAAGCTTCGCCGAACTTCGAGATAGCCTACATTGGGTCTACATGGTTCGCATCAGCGTTGTCGGGCAGATAACGACAGCAAGACAGAATGCCAGCTGAGGAGACACACCAAAAAGTCGGCCAAAGGAAGAGAGAAGTGCAGAGCGCTGCTTCGGTGCAGCACGTGCAGCATGAAGCAGGAAGCACACGTTGAACATCGGTTCCACACAAGATCGAACATTCTCCCGGTGCTTATTACCGTCTTAGCCAGATTTAGGTTCACCTTTGTGTGCCGTTTCGGTGCTCAGACTTGCAAGGTCACTCTGCCACGTTTCGAGACCTGACAATGTAAGGCCGGCTGTTAACTGCGGAATCGAAAGCTCCAGCACCCTCCTGAATCCCTAACTGTACTCTTTAGTGTTCTTGTGTATCCCAGCTTTTCTTCTACTTACTTCTTCTTCTTCGATCCCAAACAGACAACAGCAAAAGCCCAACAAACTAAGCCCGAAGCAACCGGGAATGCCACAGAGGTGCAGATTTCGTCGATGCGAGTCTGGTACTTCGGATGCGTGGACTGCGTCAGAAGCACTGACTTCTGCCACTGCCGCAAACAGCTCAAGTGCACCCATTGGCCACTGCCCTTGCATTCCTGCGTTCTTGGAACTTCGGATAAGTTACACTAATAAGGAAGCCATGTTACCAGCATCTACTTGAGATCCCTATAGTGAATCCTAAACCCTAAACCCGAAAACCCGAAAATCCTAAAGCCTAAAGCGTGTAGTAGAGACTTAAAACAACTTCCCAACGAGAAACCCAGATTCGCATGGGGCCACCAACTCGCCAGATTCCACCAGGCAATAGCGGCATGCCTGTGTGCACTGTTTGGGGTTTGGGGTTTAGGGGTTAGGGCTTAGGGCAACAACTCACGCTGGGTTTAGGGTTTAGGGCCATTCCAGGAAGGTGAACAACAGAAGACTGAATAACTACCAACATTAGTCCTCAAGGGTTCCTGATTATAGTCTGAATAGAATAACCCCAATAGCATATTCTGATCATAACCGTTACAGCCCTGATGTCAGCCACAGTCCTTACCAGCTTCTGAGACTTCACCCTCGGCAACGCGGCGCAGCTTCCGGATGTTGTCCTCCTGACGGCCACACTCACGCATTTCGCATATCCCACGCAAGTCGTCCACAGCCTCCTCTGCTTCGTCAGGCGTTTGGAACAGCTGCACATAAATCTCATTCTGTGCCTCGAAAACTTGGAAATGGGAATCGAACTGCTGTGTGTGGAGCAGAATGGATCGAAGGTCGACCCCTAGCTAAGCTCCGAGCGTTGAAGTATGCTGATGCTGCAGCATACCTCCGCCGGTCCTCTTTAGGCTCCAATATAGAACCGATGGAGACGGAGTTCTCCTCTCAGTGCATCTGTGAGCTGCAAGGAGGACGAGGGTCGGATAGACTCCCAACTCACATAGGACTACTCGTGATGGCCAACCAAAGCAGAACCCAAAAGAAAGAAGGTGAGAAACACAACAAGCTGGGAAGTCTCCCAAACTCGGAAAATAAGCACATGAATTAGGAGCTACCTTTCCTCTTGCAGGTGCGTCCAGGCCTCCCCAAGGCACCCAAAAGAATACCAATGCAAAAGCAGGTTGTGCTGGTGGCTCTGCAGCCGAGAGGTTGGGAAGCATTGGCCCGAACACGGCGGTTTAGGGTTTCCCTCCCACTTGGCAAGGACAAGCCCACATTGCAGGCGGTTTAGGGTTTAGGGTTTAGGGTTTAGGTTTAGGGTTTAGGGTTGAAATAAGCAAGACATGTAGAGTTGGGACTTCCGAGATGTGACTAGAAGCATGCTGCACCGCACAAGTCCTCGTACATGAAGCTCATAAGGCCAATGAGTATCTTCTCTACAGTCCAGCTGGGATTCCAAGACCTTAGCCGAAGAAGGCAAAAGACGACTACAACAGCGAAGATAGGGTGACCCGAGAGAAGATCGTTCGGAACCCGGAGGGTGCTTTGTCTCTCTTGCGTCCCTGGACTAGTCATATCTGATGCCGGGACATGCTGATCACTGCTGCAAGACTGCAGCTAGAATGGCCGGCCGCTACGGGCCATCCACAAACCGCGAGAATGAAGCTGTAGTGGCCATGGCCACTGTGGGGGCAATCCACAAACCGCGACGATTAGGATCAGATCATCCTCGCAAATGGCGATGGCCAAAGACCACTAGAAGAATGGCTGCCGAGGAACAGCCATCAAAGGAAACACAGGATGCCATTTCTTCCTTCTCAATTTTGCTCTGACCAGACGGACTGACCAACAAGGTCGTGCTTTTCTGGCCAATGCTATGTCTTTGGCCAGCGCTGAGAATTTCATGCATACGACTATAATTGACCGTGCTGATCACCAGGATTTGCGTGACGCCGCTCCGAACCAAACCATGACGGCACAATGACGCGTATGCTCTGTCTCACCACGGTTGACATCATGACCGATACAACAACAATGACCACCGGGCTCACGATGATGAAAACAGCTGCCGGGATCACCGTGAATCGTGATCATTATCATTCGCACACTGTGACGGTTGAATGCCACCATTACGTACACCCATTTTGATCAACATTACCGCTATGGACACATCAGAGCATGATGACCCGCGCAGCACAGTCAGCAGCATGGTGATAACCACCCACGTGAATACTAGCACGACACGGATGACAGCATTGTAAAAAAAGCACTGTCACTGTGACCCTTCTACACAGTGACATTTTTTGACTTTCCCAATCATTACCGTAACTTGTCATTCTGCATGCTGCTGTTCATCACATCGTCGCAAGCGTCACGACAAGAGAACCCATCACTCTCACCCGGCTCGTCAAACTTGCACGCTCGTCAATATCATTGACGCTACATCTATCATCGTGCTTCTGATATGTCACATGATGCTTGTGGCTTTTGTAATGCATACTGCTGATTCTTTGCACATCGCCAAAGATTCCTTTTGGTGCCGCCCTGTCACAGTCTTGTCATTTCTCTTGTCGCCTTTCTCTGTCATTTGGGGGGACATCCTACGAAGTGCAGAAGAGACACCGCCTAATCCAAGCCTCAAAGGTCTGAGGTTCGCACTCCTTGTGGAAGTCGCTCATTGATAAGCAGATGCGCTTGTTGATCTCGAAGCGGCCGCTTGGGGTCAACATCCTGGTTTTGGGGGACTCGGATTGGAGCCTTGCAGGGTCCCAACCCTTCGTCTACGCATAAGCTTTCAAGGCCTGATGATACTCTGATGGTGATCCTGTCGGGGATGCATCTCCTTCTAGTAACGACGCTAAGGAAGCCTCGAACCCCAAACACAAAGCAAGCCCACGCCACGGATACAAAAGGCCTATCCGAGCCCGGCCGCTTTATCGACGGAGGCTTCATGGGAAAGTCATCCGGAAACTCCAGGATGCCTTCGGCAGTTAAGAAATCGATGCCTTCGGCAGTTAAGACATCGATGGAGGGATGGTACCCATCATGACGATGACGATGATGATGATGACAGAGAGGTTTTGATGGTGGTAGCAACGATCGTATTTTTAGGATGTCGGCTCTGAAGACGTGATGAAGAAGAGTAGCTGCCGGCAAAAAAAGTGTGCAGCTGGCTGCAATGAAAAGGTTCTGAGCAATACCAGATTCAAGGTCGTGTGATCATTAGGCAGGATGAAGGGTATGAAGGGAATGCTGATTGATTCTGGGGAACGGGTAGCTCAGCTAAGGATGACGCCGATCATGATAAGAATCGCACAATCATCCTCATAAAAAATCATCCTCATCGTCGTAATGTCCAGGTTCACTTGGTTGTTGTCGGGGGGTGGGCGGTATCAACATCATCATCCACACCCCGTGGACATCATATCTGCGACCCACCGGCTTATTTGAATGTTCATGCCCGGGCATCACAGAAAGCTGAGACGAAGTCTCTGCATCCAGGTCGCCGTGGTATTTGCCTCGGACGCCGTGCTACGGATAATCCAAGGGAGGGCCTTCACGGGTCCCGAAGCTTCGAAACCTGGTCCTGTCATAAAGAGACAGAGGGTTACGGAATCTCATCGCACTGGCACTTGCCAAGGCCTAGCGCGCGGCTGCCAGAAAAGCCTTGTTTCACGTAAACCTTCTCTCTGACTCTGATGGGGCCAGAGTAGCCATCCCGACTATCAGATGGGCGATGGAATCACAATCGGACTCAGCTAATCAACAAGTCTAGACAAGGCACCACCTGTGTACGGATCCTGGTTTCCAGTGATCACGAAATGCCATTCTAAGATATTTGTGTCCAACGGTCGCGCTTCGATGTACTCGATGGGATTTTTGAGAATCCGCCGGTACCTCGAGCACCACGGGATGGAACACCCAAGTCAGAAGCACTGCGCGCACCTTTATGATGCGATCGCAAAGCATAGTACAGTAGAGTATACAGCATGGTATAGTTGCGTGTCGTGTAGTATGGTATGGTATGGTATGGTATGGTATGGTGTGGTGTGGTATGGTATGGTGTGGTAGTATGGTATGGTATGGTATGGTATAGTATGGTATGGTATGGTGTGGTGTGGTATGGTATGGTGTGGTAGTATGGTATGGTATGGTATGGTATGGTATGGTATGGTATGGTAGTATGGTATAGTATAGTACAGTCAGGATAGCTGAGGCAGGCGCTCCATCAAGAGTCTCCGGTTGTGGCGACTGCCAGCTCCAGCGGATTCAGTGGGGGCTTGCTTCTCGCCCTGGCGCCGGCGAGCTGTTCTTCAAGGAATGGGGATTTTGGGGCTTAGGGTTTATTTTTTGGGGCGTCAGAAACTTGCCGAGTACTGCAGAACTGTAGACCACGCAGGGTTCACAGGCCTGAAGTCGGGCATTCCAAGACCGAGCCAGCGAACCAAAGATGCAAAGACGGTTCGACTGAATGGTTTCAAAGCTCTTCCTCCTGTCAGGTACCTTGTCGTTGGCCTTGCTACCCAAGGCGAGACGGAACAGAGTGAGATAAGACGAGACAACAGCCCAGCCCTGGCCTCATTTAAGGCAGCAGAAACAGGAAGAGGAGTCGATGCAGTCATATCGATATCCAGGGCCCGAGTCTTGTCCACAAACACGGCCTGCGGCAACGCTCTGCTTCTTTCAGGGAGGCTTTCGATGACATTCGTGATGGTGGGCTAGCTTCTGTCTGCGGGTCTCTGTCAAAAGCCTCATTTCGTGCATTCGAGGCGCCAGGTCATAGCATCTGGCGATGGCCATTTCCCCGTAGTGGGACTCGATCTCCGTCTCGGGGCAAGGAGCAACATGTCTCCCTTCGCCCTTTACCCAACATAAGATGCACCCGCCTCGGGGTGATACTGCACGCCGACCCATCGCTGGAGAATCGGGAAGTTGGCGAGCGCCCTTGCCTTCTCCGGCGTCGGAAGGGGACCCGAAAGGGCCTTCAAGTGACTAGAGGGTAAGCAGTGGATCGTCCTCGACCCGTGACGGGTGTACTCCGTCACCCACCACCCATCATACTGACCCCGATCGTAGCCGCGAATCTGCAAGCGCACCACTTCCCCTTGCTTTCCCACTTGGGTGCGACTCACAGCAGTGAAAGGCTTCGTCGGATCCAGCGTGGGATGCTTGTGCTTCAGAGAGCCATCACCGCCAACCTCCTCGGCTTCGACTGACTGGTTCTGAGGCATCACCTCCTTGCTCACCCTGACCATTGGGTGGAGCGCCCGGTACTCCACGTTCAATGGAAACTTCTGCGGGACGTACCTCGGCAGTCCGGAGACCAGAGCTGCAATACTCATGGCTTGACAATACGTTTCCGAAAAGTGACGCGATATTTAATCCGACTTTCGGCGTGTAGCAACTGAGGGCCGGCCCCCAGTACCCTGTTCGGGGGCTCCAAAGCAAACTGCTAGGAAGGGGCTCGAATCTCTTGGAAGCCTCTCGAACTTTGTGGAGTGGAAACTGGGCCCGCTGATGTGGGAACCACTCGTGAAGCCGATGTTCGAAGGAGTAAGGCACCTCAGCTTTTGCCAGAGTGGTCTGTTCAGAGGTGAGCCTTGGGCTTTTTTCCCACCCGCCCCGCTGACACTTGGGTTTTTTGACACTCACACTCGGACAAGCCTGGCAAGGTCCACCACGATACTGTCTTCAAGATAGGGTTGAGGCCTTTGGGGTTTGAGGCTTCGGAGTTTCGGTTTTTGGGGCATCGGGGTTTCGGACCCCTCACTTCTCTCGGCCCAGGCGCAGCAGGAGTCAGTGACATGACCTGGCCTTCGCCTCCCCATTTCCTGGGCTGCTGTTAAGGAACTTAAATCAGTCACTATAACAAGGAAACCCTATTATTTAACTTCAGAGAATGAAGCCCATTATGGTAACCTAAATTACGTTACTAGAATAAGGAAGCCCTATCATTTACTCTAAAATCCCCACTATCCTGACTTAAACTAGGTTCCTTAACAGCGCCCCAGCTTCTTGGCGGCCCTCACCTCCCCACAAAAAGAGTAGAAGCCGACGATGAACACCGACTCCAGGGTGCTGCGGCACATCCTTACGGATACCCTTACCCTTAGGGTTTAGGGTTTAGGGTTTAGGAGGTGCTACAAAGGATACTATAGGGGCTTTCTAGGAACCCCTTAAGAGGCGCTACAACGGGCTACTATCGAGATTACTGTTTGCGTTTCAAGCAGTCGCAGCAAAAACCCCGAGCTACCTGCTAATGCAGTGAAGGCGGCTGACCAAGGTTCCATTTCCTGGGCAGCGATGCACGCACAACGCCGCCCACCGAATGCTACACGTAATGCATGACATAATGTGTGTTATATATATATATATATACATATACAGATAGATGGGTCTTGTGTGTGTGTATATATATATATAGTTGCAGTCGGAAGGCTCATTTCTCTCAAAGTTCATTCCGCCCATGGGGGTGGCAGTTGCATCACCCACATGGGAATTGTGCGCCCAGACGATGATCTTCAAGTCCTGGTCCAGCACAAGCCATGGAGGCTTCCCGTTCCCGCAAAACGAATCTCACAAGCCTCCGAAATCCACCGACGACCCTTCGCATGTAGCCATGAAGCTTTGGGAATCTAGAATCCAGGGTTTGGCCTCAGGGTGGTTGCTGCACCTGCCGCTTCCAAGACTGTGAAAGGCTCCCTGCCCGACCTTGTCATCGAGACCGAAGAGCTCGCGTGAATGCGCCCGCAGTCGAAGAATCGTCGTCATCATGTGCTGGTCACGAGCATTCCTGGCACATCGCTGTAAAATGCCGGAATGGTCGTGTGATGGTAAGCCCGGTAAGTGCTTCCGAATTCAGGGCCACTGGGACTGGACCTTGGCTTAACTCTGCTTCACACGTAAGAATACTTTGTCCAGTTCTAAGTAGGAAGGAGGGCCGAAAGCAAGCGCAAAATAGGGACCTGTAGGTATTTATATATATATATATATGTATACATGTACACACACATAAATACATACAAATTTGTATACATATATATATATAATATGTGTGTGTATGTGTGTATGGGTAGATATACAGACATATGCATGCTTTGTATCGCACTACATGCATGTATACAGAAAGGCGAGATTGAAGCTTCTGCCGCTTCGGCACCAGCTCGCCCGCGACCCGGGTGGCTCCAGGCGCTGCTTCGAGTAGTACTCGTCAGCAGCAATCATGCACTCCTTTGGACACACGTGGGAGTTTCCGAAATTAGGGGTACCTTATTTTGGGGTCCTTATAATAAGGATCCTACTATTTGGGGTACTATACTAGGGTCCCCTATTTTCGGAAACCCCCACGTAGCCAGGGCTAAACAACCCACCTGCAGCCACAGCCAGGCACCAACTAAGAGGATCTACGAGCACAAGAGAGCACAAGAACTATCGCCAGAAAATGCAAACTTGATTACTGCACCTGTCCACCGTATCACCAGTCCACCGTGTTACAGTGTGGGGGGTCTAGGGTTTAGGTGGGCTTGAAGGGCTCTACGTCGCCAGTAGCTACAAATCGCAGATGTACCAAGATTCCAGATTCTGTTCCACGTTGAACTGGTCGAGCTTAGAACATCCCCTGAACTTCTTCGAAGCCAGTACCTCAGATGGAGCATTCTGGGCCACTTTTCAGCTGAAGCTGACGAAGCGTCCTAGATGTTTCGTATAAGTGCATCCTGCAACAAAGGAGCGATACTTCCGCAAGAGCCGTTCGCCGCCGCCTGCTGCCGCCTCGTGAAGAAAGCAAAGGGACCGCCCCGACCGCCCGAAGTTATGCGACTGCCGAGGGAGCGCTGAGGGAGTGCTTGGGTGGGACTTGACTAGCCAGAAGTAAGAGAGAGAACCCTGAATCCAGTAACAGTTTTGTTTTTGCAAGGCCGCCCCAGTTCAAGCACCACAGGAGACATGCCGGCACACCAAAAGTGCAGCCTTGAAGCATTCCTATCATAGCTTCTCCATTCAGAGTTCTTGCAAAGAAATGAAGGTGGCTGCTAGCTCAAGGGCCATCCAGGTCAATCCCAGCGGCCCAGGTTGGCTACCAGAGTCGGCTTGGAACTCCCACTGCAGCTTTGCCAGAACATCTGGCCACCTGATCGCTGCAGACATTGACAGAATCGCGGGCTTCCCCAACCCATGCTTCAACTCTGCCACCCTGAAATTGCAACTTGCTGGGCACGCTTGAAGCCGACGCCCTTTTACGCGGCAAACTATATCTGTGCACGAGCACAAGCAACTCCCTGCCCAAAGTCAGGGAATGGTTCTTGGGTGGGCCGTGCTGCCGATGTCCACGAGTCGTGCTTACATGTGTGAAGAAGCACCTGCCCCTTGGAAACACGTCCCAGTAAAAACCGAAACTACCGGTGAAACGGATCACAATGAGATCTACAAGTTCTCTCGAATCATCGAATCCGAAGCCCACTGGCCACAAACAGGATCAGGCTACAGACGTGCATGGTGGCGCGTCTCTTCGGTTCGATCTCATTGCTTCTTTGGAACGATCATCTCAGAAATCTCTTCGAGTCTGTCCTGCAAGGGCTGCTGGACTTCAGCATTCGGGCGGAAGTGTTTCGAGAGCCTGTTCTCGCGCCGCGGAACGAGCCAGACTACCAGCAGAAAGATACGGGGAAGAAGACACCTTTAAGACTCGGACCTTGCGCGAACACCATGAAAGTGCAATAGCCAAACCAGCAACAAGAACTTCTCTCACCCGGGCCTTCAAGTATGTCTCATATTCCAGAAGGTGAGAAGTCTGCCCTTCCAGCTGTGTCTGGAACCTCTTTGCCTCCTGCTTGAGAACATTCAACTGTGACTTCCGCCACTCCCTGAAGTACCTCGGCTACTCTCCTATGGCTTCGGCTGGACGTCTTGAGCTCCGAACAACAAATACTGCTGTATAAGTCGTGGCGCACCTTCATGGCACTGAGATTGTTGTTCTCTGTGTGTGTGTGTGTGTGTGTTGGTTGTTTGTTGCTGCCACAGCCACTGTTATTATTGTTGCTAGTGCTATTGGTAGTGCCACTGACATTGGTATCGTTATTGTTCTTGTTGTTGATAGTGGTATTGCGCAGGTGGTGTTGTCAATATGTTTGTTGTTTGTTGTCGATTGTTATCGCTCGCATTATCGGTCTTGCTGTATACCTATTACAAATCCATTTATCATTGCTACTACGATTACCCATATCATTATCAAGACTATTGTTATCATTTCTAGCGTTATTCTTGCTACTACTGCAAGTAGGTGGCAGTAGTAGTCGTCGTCGTGGTAGTAGTACCAGTAGTGGCACGGATAGCACTATAGTTAGAGCTGCCATTAAAAAGGAATGTACTTGTACTAGTACTAGTACCAAAAAATAATAGCAGCAGCAGCAGCAGCAGCAGCAGCAGGAGTAGTAGTAGTAGTAGTAGTAGTAGTAGCAGCAGCAGCAATAGCCGTGGCAGTAGTCGTCGTCGTCGTAACGGTAGCAGCAGTGGGCCAAGGTGCTCATCCCACGGAGTTTCCGGATACTCCGAGCCAAACCTGCATTAAAAGTGCCAAATTCCACAAACATCTGCACCAAAAGGCATCGAGATCCGACATAACAGCTCTTCTATGGCATCAAAGGAACTACCCATGGAAACAGATCAGGTTCTGAACGGCAGCCAGGGCACGAAATCTGGCGGACAACATCGGCTAAGACAGAGCCATCCTTGAACATGTCGAAATGCATCTGGTAGGCAAGTCTGGATGCCGCTGCTTCGGAAGGGCGCTGGTAGCGCCCGGAAAGGACACGAACCTGTGCGAAGTGGCAATCTGCTGTTTTTACACCAGGAACACTATCTGTGCTTGTCCACAGAAGCTCACACCTACTGCAAAGCCTTCTGCAACAAAGCCCCGGCTCGGGATAAAATTTGCCTTTAGGAGGACTAACGACTTGAAGAACTTCGCCTTTAAGAGTTCGCGGCTGTCAGAAGACCCCAAGATCAACAGTCGAGGCCCTGAAGGCCAAGCTCTACACTGAAATGCACGCGTGTTTAGGAGGCCTCGGCGGATTCGAAAAGGCGATCTATAGCTGCATCCCAAGTGAGGATGCGTCGCTGCTCCGGTGGAAGCGGCGTGGGATCACCTGTCGGGACCAACGGGTTTGAGAATCCGGTAGGAGGGCGAGCGAGGGCGAGAGAGGGCACGAGAGGGCGAGAGAGAGAGAGAGAGAGAGAGAGAGAGAGGTTTGTGCAGGGCAGTGCCTGCAGCCAAAGCAGCCTTGAATGCCCTCACAAAGCTGTCGGCATCGCCGATCTCGAAGAAGTGACATCTGTCCTCTACACGCAGCACTGCAATGTGGCTGTTTTAGTATGCCCGAGGCTGAACTACACCTGCTGGGCAGCTTACAGGACCTGTAGCCCGGGTTCTGCAAGAAGGCTCTGTGCTGTGAGCAAAGGAGGTTGGATGTAGCTGCGGTGTCCAAGAATCGGCGGGATTTCGAGACCCAGACGGAGTGAGCTCTCAGCGAATACCCTGCTGAAACATGTCCTCTGCCTCTCAACCCACACTCGACAGGTAACAATCGCAAGCCAATAAACCTCAGCCCGGATGGTAGAAGTGTAGGGGGGGGAGGGGGTTGGATGCAGCCGAAGCCTTGAACTGCTCGAAGAACCGGTTGGAGACGTGGCGCGCCAGCACGAGGTGCTTCCCCATGGCAAGCGCTTCCACGCTCACGGTGCACAAGACGTCGGTGGTGGATGGGTTGACGAGGACACCATACCTTCATTTATGGAACTCTAGAAAACCAAAGTGCCAGCTGTCCCGGGAATCCCACAGAAAACTCAGAAGCATCTTCAAAACAATCGCAGGTGCCCATGAATCGTCTCGTCTGCATGGTCGATACCCGGGTTCATCTTCAGCAGTGCTCCGTTTTCAGGCAGAGATGCCGCCTCCAGTGTGATACCCTCGCCATCCGGACCTGTCGGTGGCTCTGCGGCCAGCAAGGAACCAACAACAACTTCCCGCAAGGCCCTCGAAACTGACACCAGGTCACCAGCCTGATCCATAGCCATCCTGCAAGGCTCATGGAACGTGCAAGTGCAATAGCAACTTTCAGTGCAGTTTCGATGGCAAGAAGCTGTTTCATGGAGTTTCTCAACGAAGCCAAGGCTCCACTTTGATTCCGGCCAGATCGGACCCAGCGGCCACGATGAGGTCTAAGAGCTCTCGCCAACCTTTCGGATAGAGTGCCTGCCGACAGGTTGCTCGGGGAGCCACAGTGCAGTGCACAGGGTTGTTTCCGCCACGTTTCAAGGAGTTGCTGTTAGGTCCGTTAGGTTGAAAGAAGACACAGCAGACTGGAACTGGAAGCGTGCACCGGATCGGTCCACAATGCTCTGTGGTCGTCGTCGTCGTCGCAGCACTAGCAAAGCAGCATCAGCAGCAGCAGCAGCAGCAGCAGTGGTTGCAATGGACGTTCATGAATCAGTCGACGAAATTATGGCTATGCCAGGTCTGCACAAGAACCAGCGCAAGAACGACAACGAAAACAGCACCAACACCAACGCAGCAGCCGACACATTTTGCGTTGAACCCGAGACGAGGCAGTCTTTCTGGCCTTGCCCAGGTAGTAGGCACGAGCTGCACCTTCTCTTTGCACATGGCTCCTGCCCAAATCTGCGCCGATTAATGTTCCACGAAAATGCCCCACTCTAACTATGCTTCCTGCCACGCACCCTGTACCCAAACAAGCCCGTGAGTCTGACAGCAGGTAGCACGACGAACCGCATTTCATAGGGTTCCGATTAATGCAACAACGTTGACAGCTGGACAGAGCACGGGAACACTCACGAGACTCTGCCACTCCTGTCACCGATTTCCAGGAAGTCAGATCTGACTCCGTGGACGTTGCATGTGACCTCGTTTGGGAGAGGCATGATGGTGTCTGAGAGCTTGATGTTCACGTCGCAGTAGGCGCTGCAGACGATGGTCGAGGCTGTAAACACCGAAGCCTCCTTCAGTTCCACAGGCATTCTTCCTGCTACCCAACTGCTGGAGGAGTTGACGATGTTCATGTAATCCGAATAGTTCGTGTGCACAATTCCAATAACGTGCCGGAACAAATTTGGCCAGCGCTGGCCATAATGAAACCAGCACAGGTGTTCTGGCTCCTCAAGAATTAGGACATCCTTGGGGTCGGTGTCCGGAAGGCCTTTCGTGCAGTCGCCAGTCGGAAAAATGCTGCCCAAGGATACCACATACTTGGCAGGGTACCATCGGAACTTGAGATCGACCTTGCGCAGGTCCACCTTAGCTCGCTCTTCACACCACTCTCGCACGGTCACCTCCTGCTCCTCAGGGCGCTGAAAGCGCACATCCTTGGCAAAGACGCAAGCCTGATCCTCTTCTGCCTCTAAGAACGGCAGGTACAGGATCACAGGCTTCCCCCTCTCGGCCAGGTAAAGAGCCCTTAGGAGCGGATTCACGGCAGTGCCTGTGCGCCAAGGGAGCGCTGCAGTCGTGATGATCGTGAAGTGGCGGCCCGGGCTATTCAAGTTCGAAGCTGCTGTGCAAGCTGGAACCGGCCCCAAGGAGAAAAGTGGAGATTCTGCTTCCGCATCCAGCAGAGAGCCTCCCAACTGCTGCACAATCCGAGCATTCTTGTAGCTGCCCAAGCTGCTTGAAGACGCCTTCGGCTTTGTGCTCACACGCGCAATTGCCTCTCGCTGCTTGGTGGCCTCTCGAAGCTGCGAGTATGCGTTAAGGGACAAGATGGAACCAATGAAGCCACTCACGATCGAGATGAGCTGCTGCAGTGTCCATGGCTCTTCAGCCTTTGCTGGCGAGTGGGCCTCCGCGAGCGTGACATTCGCGTCGTGGTCCTCCCATTGCGCCAGGCAGCGGACGCCGGGCCGCCGCGCTGCTCCGAAGCCTGGCAGCCGGGGCCGCGCTGGCCCACCTGCGCGCCTTGGCGCAGGCAAAGGGGCAGCGGCCCAGGGCGCGAGCGGCGCAAGCGGCGCAAGGAACCCCCAATTGGGGCTCATGGCCAACTCAAAAACTCGCTTAAGGAAACGTCAATCCTGGTTGGTCCTGTGGTTGAAGAAATAGTCTGACCCCTTTGTCTGCAAACCTCAGGCTCTACACCTAGGCCAAACAGTGCCGCGCACAACTGAAGCGCTCTCTTGGAAGCTCACTCGCAGAGGTCAGTGCGTAGCAGGCTGGCCAAGCCGAAAGCGGATGGTGCAGTCAACCCAGAATCACGTTCGAAGCACAGGGAACATGCACTGAAGCGACAAAGCAGCTTCCCTTGCACAACTAACAGTGCGAACACGAGAAAGGGACAGGTACTGGGCATTCTCGGCATCTGCGAGTGGCCGTGCTTCACTAGAGAGTCAAGCACGCGACGCTGTTCCTCGCCTGTGTTTCCATCCCCTTGTAAGGCAAAGACCTGTCTGGCTGCTCCGCCGGATACAAAGTGCGGCGAAACTCCTTGCTCTGACACTCACCCCTCTCAAACCTCGCATCTCGGGCTTGATGACTTGCCCTTCCGACCTTCTTCTTATTGTTATACTATCTTTATTACCATGATTATTGGTATTACTATATAACTATTATGGTTCGTTTTTATTTTATTCAGGCAGTCCTTCCCAAGGTTCTCCCGATCATAGAAATCGAAGAAGTTGAGAACCTCGTCTTTGGCCTCCTCTTTACAGTAGCAGTCCATCCCAAAGACATAGGGTCCATCCGAGGACGCGCGTTTACGCATCCACTCCACCAGCTCGTAGAAAGGACGGTTTTTCCACATCCAATCCTTGTTGCAAACAAGCGCCCAATCACCAACCATATCGTTGTTTTGCGCCATTTTGTCAGATGTGGTTTTTGTCAAACATGTGTTGAACAAGAACCCTGCTAGTGGCTTTCCTACAGCTGATGTCAAAGCTGTTCCTTTCAAAACGAAGCTTTTGATTTCCGGCGTTGATTCTTCTGTAAAGCATGAATCAGCGTCGTGGCTATTATTCATGGTGTTTGCCAACGTCTTGCACAGTAGAACTGGCGAAAATCCCCGGCGGCCACAGCATCTGCAACGATCGTGGAAGTACTGGCGGTAGCAACAGCAGCAACCACTGATAACCACTGGCAATAGACATGCACATTGTCATGGCAAGGACAATCAGACCGGGCATGGTTGTTTTTCTTGTGCTGTGGGTTTCTCACCGTATGCTCCCGGCTTTTGCTTATGCTAACGGTTTCTGCCCTTATGCGAACCGGGCTCTTCCTTATGCGAACCTGGCTTATCTTTATGCGGACCTGGCTTTTTCTTATGCACCCTGCACCACCTCAAACCCTTTTGGAACCGGCAAAACCTGATTTTAAATATTCTGTCAACACCGAGGCCCCTGCGACCTTTTTCGAAAGAACCCCGCGCTGTTTCAGGAACGATTTTTGGCTGGCCTTAACAGGCAACATCAGAAGCCAAAAACAGGGCCGTAAACCTGCTTTAAATTGAATTTGCCGTGGCTCGACAAGCTCGACAAAATCAGGCTTTCACCCTCAAAACCAAATCCCGAAAATCCATGCTAGCTGCGCGAGCCCCTGTGAAAAATGGCTTCGATCCGGAGATTCCTGAAAACCCCAGACGTGATTTTAGATTTCTGTCAAACCTAAGCCCGTCCAAGCTTTTCGAACGCGCCCCGCGCGGTTTCGGCGTTGGTTTCTGGCCCACTGCCAGGTGGCCTTAAGGGCAAAATCCGAAGGGACGTAAACATGCTTGAATTAATAAACTGCCTTTGCCGTGGCTCAACAAAACCTAGGTTTTGACCCTCAGAAAATTCGTTCGAGCTGCCTGCACCCCTCAAACATGGTGCTGATGTTAACAGTTCTGACAACCCTATGGAACCCGCAAAAACCTGATTTTGGAAATTCCGCCCAAACCCAGGCCCCTGCAGGCTTTTTGCGTAAGCGCATGTGCTGTTTCGGGAACGGCTTTGGCCTGATTGACACTCACACTCGGACAAGCTTGGCAAGGTTTGTAGAGATACTGAGATACTGGTCAAACGATTCATTGCCTCGCCACGTACGACAGCTGTCAGGTAGGGCTAATGACGGGACAGCAACAAGTGTACAACCATAAAATGAAGCCCATCTGACAGCAGTCCTCCACTGAAGCAAACGTTCTATACCCGAATTGTTTAGGGTTCCTGCCTTTTTACCCGGGACGTTACAGAGATTTTCCTTGACGTGCCACATCGAAGGCAGTAGATGGCCGGTTACAACACCCTTCCTGCAACCTTAAACCGAAAATCCGATGCCGAAAACTTGGGAACGTATTTGTTCATGGAGGCTAGTTTTCCCGCTATGTTTCGTTCCTCAAGGTGATCTCTTCGAAAACATAGGCATGATGACTAGTTTTTTCTGTAGCTTATAGAGTTTATTCACTGGCTTGCAGCTGTCGGCGCAGATACACAAAATCCATGCTAGTTTCGTTCTGCGAACACAATCGCACACGTGACATCATGCTGTCGATAGAACGGCCGGAAAATGGCGACGATTTTGTTCCTCGGGATGCGCTTCAAACACCTATTTAAGCGTTGCAAAGAAAAAAAGTCAGGTTCGCGTACAGGCCAGTATTTAAAAAAGTCAGGCCCGGGTAAACGTGGCCCATCCAGCTCAATAAGGCCCAGTCCCGACCGCCGTCCCACTTGGCCCTTGCACCATGAGCTCGAAAACAGACGCATAAACAAAAAGTCAGACTCGCACTCCGGCCAGCATAGAGACAAGTCAGGCCTGGCTAAATGGGGCCAAAACCTCGGCTCAGTGGGACCCAGCCCCCCCCCCCTCCTACGTCTCATCTGGCACATGGAGCATACGCAGGAGACGGGGCAGCATAAAAAATAAAAATAAATAAACCCAGCCCAATCAGACCATCACTACAAAATCAACAATAACGGCAGAATGGTGCTGGTCAGGGCCACGCCTGTCGGAAGACTACTCATGACAGTTGGAACCGGGTTAATGATGGCAATACGCAACATGCCTTCGAATGCAGGAACCGTTCTTGATGGTGTCAAGATCAACCAAGCATCCGGAAAGCGAGTGGCGTCTGGAAACATATTGCTCTTCTTCCGGTGCACGTACTGGTTCACGTGCCACATGAAAGTCCAATCACTTTCGCACAAGATGATGTTGAATCCCCTGGTTTGCATCAAATACTTGGTAATCCTTGGATCACGACCAGGGGCAGTGCGACGGCCACTCACCCTTGAAACTCCCATGCTGAATGATTTTAATCTTAAACGATTCAAGCTTTCCTCAACTCTTCATCCGTATATCTCAAAGCCTGCCGGACGGAGGCACTCAGCCCGGATCTGGTAAAACTCCTCCGTTCCATGCGTGCACTCGCCCAAGAGCACGGTGGTGGCTGTCTCTGGGATGGAGGTCCTGTACAGCGACCGGGTGATACGTCTTAACCCAAGTGTAGGCCTGTATGCTCGAGACTGCGGAGCTTGAGCAGGCGAGTGAGCATGGACGAAAAAATCGACAACTCTTGGGCGCATGTTGATCGATCAAAGGAACTTCCTGTTGAAGCTCACGACTCATGGGCGGCTTGTGGAGGAAACTGCGAGCCTGAGCGACTCGCCCAGCCGCCCTCCACAGTTTTCCGAAAAGACAGAAACTCCAAAGCCCCAGAAACCACTTTCAAGCGATCTGGAGTGGCTCGGCGGATGATCGCTTACTGGGTGGTCTCCAGCCCTCTGCGCAAAATGCCCAACAAACAAAAAATCCCACAGAATAATCCCACTTCTACACTTCCAGCTCCTGGCCAGCTCGGCACCATCTTCGAAGGAGCCAGGGCCTAAGCCATCATCCACTGCTGGCATGAGCTCCTGGCGAAGCCCGTAGGCACAGCGTCACATCCGTAACCCCGAAACCTATAAGCCTAGCCGACGGCTGCACGGGCACCATCCAGGGCAGGAAAGGACCGAAGTGGAACCGCGAACAAACGGGTATATGAAAATATCTATGTTGTGCTCGCAAAGTCGGCTTCAAAACTGCGCATCAGCCGAGCTGATCGGCTTTAGGGTTTAGGCATTTTTTGACAGGGCACGCTGTGGCGCCGCTCCGATTTAGGCATTTACGGGTTTAGGGCTTTCGGGTTTTGTACAGTTTTACTGATTCTTTGCATTGCGGAAGTCAGTGTTCAGGCGATTGCACAAGTCCTGATGCAAAAAGGGTTTAGGGGTTTCGGGCTTAAGGGCTTAAGGTTCAGGGTTTACAGTAGGGGGTTTAGGGTTTGGGGGTTCAGGGTGTAGTGTTTAAGGTTTAGTGTTTAGGGTTGATCGGCTGATTGGCTGATCGGCTGATGCGCGGTTTTGGCCCGAAAAGCCACACACACGGAACATTTAGGCTTTTTGGACTTGGTGATCTGCCAAGTTCCCGAAGCCTGTCAAGAAACGAATGTTCCAAACGCTCACAGGCACTCCTGCTCCAGCTCCGGCCCCACAAACACATGTTACCGGCTCGAGCCAATCAGCAAGAAACCACGATTCTTTTGCAAGATTTTTTCCTGCTACCGCATAGTGGAACCTGTCAACATCCGATTCAAACCAAACCAAGGCCGACACATTTGCAAACAAAGCTGACCTGGAGCGCCAAGACATTCGATCATGGGCAGTGTGAATCGGACCCGAGGCTCCTACTGAAGCTGCTCTACGTCGGGAAGCCAATCTTCAACATCACAAGGCCTGAGCAAAACATTCAGTCACACCACCCCTTCATGCACGAACTACGGCGCTCTACCCTCCAGGCCCTCTGCCCACTGATGAAGCGGGCAGCTGCGGGCGTCTCGGTCCTTGGCAACACGGGCATGGACAACAGCAGTTTGAGTCAATTAGCTATTCTGGGTCCGGCACTCTGGAGCCACAACCACACTCGGCAGCTGCTGACGATAGGCTGTTATGCCAATGGGATGGCATACCAAGAAGAGGAGACCTTCAAGCATGCTCGCGTGGCAGTGATCCTTCCGACTTTTGCCAGTTCATCTGAATCTTCAGTTCTGTCATTGAACTGGACTTCTTGTTTCCCCTTGGGCGAGGTGAGAAAATATCTCACATCGGGTTGCTCAATCGTGAGTCTGGCAAAGCTGGCCAGCCCCGAAGCAATCCGGTCGCAACCCCAGCGATCTGCCTGATGTGAGCATGATCGACTGTATGAAATGGGCACCGCAAACGCCCGACCTCGCAGCAACCCAACAACACAACTCAGAGCTTTGCATATTCCCCGTGCTTTGCCCCGCACACTAACCGCTTCCAAATAAGGTCCGTGCGATCAATTCGCAAACGACTTGGAAAGAACACACGCTCCTTGAGCATCGCTACGATCTTCGGCCGCCCATATTGCCGGAGCCCCACGGCCACAACGGGCAATGTTTAAATCAACAAAATGCATGAAACTGTGAGGTAAGAAAACGCAACATGAGCACAAAGGGACACAAACGGCGACAATGCGCAGTAACGTTTTCTTTCACCTTACGCCGTGAATTGCGCATGCTTGCAGGAGCCATGGGCGAGGGTTGGAGCGGCTTCGCCTGTTGGTCAAGCATACTGGTACGAAGGTCCCATGGGCATCGGCTTCGTGAATCAAGTTTTCTAATCCACCGGTCTGTGTTTCATGCCCGCTTGCTGTAAATGAATTGTCAATCCATCATCTCGTGACATTCGGCAAAGCTGTCTTGCAGGCATACCATCGGCTCGTGTGTCGACTTTGGGGTTCGGCTACGAGGCTTTGTCGCGTTCGCCGGTATCCTTGTTCTTGCTGGCGACTGCAAGCGTATTTATCCGAGCTTGGGGGGCCCAGGATGTGAGAGCCCCGTGAGCCCCAGATTGGGTGAACTCAAGCGTGCACTCCGCCTGAGTATCTCCTGTTCGAAAACAAGCACGACACGCCTCTGCACAGCCAGTAACTAAGACTCAGGGGCCGCGGGGCGATGGGCCAGAAGGGGCATCGTAAGATGCGGCTAAGTCTTTGACCTAGGGTAACACGGTCCACGTGGACACGACTTCCTAGTCACCTATGCCGACCACTTTGATTTGATGGTGCTGACGCGCCTTTCCGAACGGGGCAAGAGCTCCTTGTTTTTCATCACAGTTTTTGCGAACGGTACGAGAGCGGTCCCAGTGCACCTGCAGTCTACGTGGCGCGTGCAGCCTACCAACGTTCGTCTTGCGAGACCTCATGCACAGCCAGCTGGCCGGCGGCAGAGGCGACAGTGTCGAGGGGGAGCTCAAGCACAGAGCCGCCGAGTGCCCTCTGCGCCGCGACGGCGATGATGCTGCTCCAACGAGACACACAAGCCGCACGCAGAGCCAACCGAACGGCTGTGTGCGCACGCCCAGCTCGCGACCGCGCGAGGAGCTTGAGGAAAGTTGTGGGCTCGGGGCCCCAGCGGCC